AAAAAGAATTTTGGAAATCGGCCAACGACATCATGTAATATTATAGCAGTTGCGCCCCCTAGCGGTGAAGTTACAAATTTGAAATTTTTTAAAATTTTTTCGCCGTATTTGTTAAAAGATTTTTTTACCCCATAATCGTAGCACGTCTAGTTATTTATGTACAGGGTGATTCGCTATATTTTGACTCCCCTTCAACTTTTTTGTTGTAAGAGTTATAAAAAAATGTTAAATATAAAAGTTGCACGATTTTTTATGAATTTTTCGAAAATGATAGTAGAAAAAGAAATGAAGTCCAAACAAAATGGCGGCGGATGTTAACTTTGTTAAGTTAAATGAAACACCATGTAGGGTTTGTTGGTCCATCGCTAACAATAAGCGAGATACTATTAAAAAACAAAAAGAAGATTTTTGTTATTAAGAAAATGATATCTTGTAATTGTTAGACCTCTTTCAGGCATTTCTGCCTTTTTTCCAATTGGGTAAGGATTTACAGATTTAGTTATAATATATTTTGATAGATCGGACATTGATACGGTCCAAAATACGTATAGGTAATGTAACGAAATCTCAATAATTAGACCGTGAGAGGTCTAATTACTCATGGATATTATATGGTAGGTCGTAACAGTGACAGGTAGTAATGTCTTGACAACATTGTTATTGATTGACAGTATGTATAAAAATCGACACGCCCTAATGTATTATTATTTAATTAAAATAGGTTACATAGAAGTAGAAAATTATTTAGAATTAAAATAGAGTATGGATAAGGACTTTGCTCTATTTTAATTCCTATAATATTTCAATTTTCTGCTTCTGTGTAACCCATTTTAATTAAATATCTTTTTGTTTTTTAATAGTATCTCGCTTATTGTTAGCGATGGACCCAACAAACCCTATTTGACTATATTCGACAGGGAACGTTCTATCCAAATACGTAAAAATATACATGGTATACCATTTAACTTAACAAAGTTAACATTCGCGGCCATTTTGTTTGGACTTCATTTGCTTTTCTACTATCATTTTCGAAAAATTCATAAAAATTCGTGCAACTTTTATATTTCACATTTTTTTTATAACTCTTAAAACAAAAAAGTTAAAGGGGAGTCAAAATATAGTGAATCACCATGTACAGTCCCTTCGTACCGTTAATGGATCACCCTGTATATTTAAATGAAAGTACTCGGTTTTAGTTCAAATATCATCACAAATGAGTAAAATTATCAAAATGCTCAATATTTAGTGAAAATGTACTCAATAATTTCCAGCTTTCACTCAAACCAACTTTTTTACAGTGTACTTTTCACATTTTTAACTAACTTTAACGAATCAAAGAACTGTCAAATTAATTTGAAGGAATTCCACAATTCAGACACGCTGATTGTTAATTAATGTAAATCAATTTATATCACACCATTTACTCAGATCTGTATCTCGTTGTTGCCTNTGCTCTATTTTAATTCCTATAATATTTCAATTTTCTACTTCTGTGTAACCCATTTTAATTAAATAATAATACAAACTGTCAAACAATAACAATGTTGTCGTAACATTACCTGTCACTGTCACGGCCTACCATATAACATTGTCCGTGAGTAATTAGGCCTCTCACGACCTAATTAGTGGGATTTAGTTACAATACCTACAGCATTTTGGACCGTATCAATGTCCGATCTGTCAAAATATATTATATCTAAATCTGTAAATCCTTACGTAATTGGAAAGGCAGTAATTCCTGAAAAAGGTTTAACAATTACAAGATGTCTTCCTTAATTAAAAAATCTTTTTGTTTTTTAATAGTATCTCGCTTACTGTTAGCGTTGGACCCAACAAACCCTATTTGACTATATTCGACAGGGAACGTTCTATCCAAATACGTAAAAATATACATGGTATGCCATTTAACTTAACAAAGTTAACATCCGCGGCCATTTTGTTTGGACTTCATTTGCTTTTCTACTATCATTTTCGAAAAATTCATAAAAATTCGTGCAACTTTTATATTTCACATTTTTTTTATAACTCTTAAAACAAAAAAGTTAAAGGGGAGTCAAAATATAGTGAATCACCATGTACAGTCCCTTCGTACCGTTAATGGATCACCCTGTATATTTAAATGAAAGTACTCGGTTTTAGTTCAAATATCATCACAAATGAGTAAAATTATCAAAATGCTCAATATTTAGTGAAAATGTACTCAATAATTTCCAGCTTTCACTCAAACCAACTTTTTTACAGTGTACTTTTCACATTTTTAACTAACTTTAACGAATCAAAGAACTGTCAAATTAATTTGAAGGAATTCCACAATTCAGACACGCTGATTGTTAATTAATGTAAATCAATTTATATCACACCATTTACTCAGATCTGTATCTCGTTGTTGCCTGCCCTGAAGGAACGCGATAATGTAGGACACTGCAACACTTGTACGTAACAAAAGTGAATATAGCCGAAATTAGCAGCCCCACTAATCAGTATTTACGACTCTACCGACGAGGTTAACATAAATCCACTCAGCCCGTATTGGCAGGTGTCGGAGGGTTCCCGAAGGGCCAGTCTTAATTAGTGGTTCCTGGTTCATTATTTAGCCGCGGCGCGGCGTTGGCCGACGTCGCTTTGTCCGCCGGCCCCTGTCGATTGTAGTGAAATATTTATGGGCCGTGAGCGAGGCCCCGATGTTTTGTCTCGTTTTATATGCCCGCCTGAATGGGACTCGGTTAGAAGTAGTTGATGAATTGCTGCGGATTCGTTTTGTTCTTTAATTTATGGCCGCGATATTAGGTTGGCTTTGGCCGGAAAAGTGGAGAGCTCTGACCATACGCCAACTTACTTGACGCGCTCCAAGGATAATCAGTCTTTGAGGCCGCTAAATACGGTAAATACTTGGAAATTAATTACCTGCTCTAATGAAATTTTGTTGCGGTGAGTCCCGACAACTCGTCCGATGCTGAAAAAGGGCAAAGGTAAAAAAAGACCTGCGGTCTTTAAATCTTATACTGGGAATGGAAGGGAAGAAGTAGTGGCAACACTTACAAGTATCTCGAAACTGAAAAAAACTAGGAAGAACTAAAATAAATGAAGAAAGGAATTAAAATATTTGAAGATATAATTAATGAGATACTGGTTTTTGGGGCAATTCTATATTCGGATTCCAAGGTACAGGATTTATATATGTCACTGATGTCAAAGAGCACAAACTTTGCAGTCCTTGATTTAGTGGAATAGGCTTTGGTTTATTTTTCGAATTTCTCAACCATTCTTCAAAAGCTTTCTCATTATCTTCAATACATTTCTACTTTTGTTCATACACCTGAATTAGTGCCAGTTTATCTTTAATTTTTCTCTCTATAAAAATATAACCAAGTCCATCTTTTTTTTTCCTTCTCAACCATTTATACAGATACAGAATAATACAGAATACAGATTTCTGTATTACTTTGTAATTGTTCTTCCAAAGAAGATTTTTCTCTTTCTATTTTTTCTATCACGGTTTTCAATCTAATTTTGTCAACAGTTAACTCTTGCAAGCATTCTTTGTGTGAGATTTTCGATTCGAGTATTTTTCCTTGGTCCCGCTCTTTAGGTTTCATTTGATCCCGGATTGACTTGATCTTGTTAGAGAGTTCGGCCTTGGTAATTTCTAGTCTAAATCAGCCACTAATTTCTTCCTAATTTCAAATTCTTGCTTCGACATTAACAATTAATTCTTGAATATTAATATTGATATCATGAATTATCATGTAAATGGAGTTCATCTTGCCAGTCTTTTTTCGGTTCTGACCGCATCCACTTTTAAGGCATCAATTCCTAGAATGCCCTTCAGCATCACATTTCCAAAACTAGATTTATTTCCACCTGCTGAATACTACAGAATCAGTACGGTTCTGTCCTTTCTGCAAATTGTCCAAGAAGAGAGCTCTTCAGCAATTTTTCTTGTTCTAGCCTTCCTACCTCTAGATGCTTATTGGGCGGCTTTGATTTCCAATAGCAAGCCCACAGACAGCTTCGGAAATTCTTATGACAAGCTAACATTAATACTTGACTAATGTCATAATCTCGAAGACCATCAATAAAGCTGGTGTAGCGGGGAAGGCTAGTCTAATCTTACTACATCCGTATTTGACAATTCTTTTCTTCAGCTTCAGTTATCGTTGCTAAAACTTCCATAGCTTCAATTTGTAGAGCTACTATTAGCGATATTGCATGTTCTTCTTCGTATCAGTTACTTCCTGTGGCGGCTGTCTCGAATTGTTTTAGGTAAATGCTCTATGACATTTTGTCATCAAAAGCTGGTGGCTTAATTCTTGAGGAAATTAGAGAACTACCTTCAGCTTTAACAAATTATTTTGCTGACAACCATCTAAGTGATTATCATACTTATAACAGCAGCAAATATAAATAAAAATTGTATCTGTTCGTCGAACACTATCGGTATAGGAATATTAATCTGTTTAGAAACTACATCTATAACTCAATGAAATGAGAAATTAACAACAAATTTGGATTACTTAATTAAGACCTATGGATATACCTTCAAATAATACTTCTTGCATTCAAAGTTTGTTAGATACAGAAATTTTAAACACAAAAAATCACGCTTTTTTATCGACTTCACGAAACTAACTACTTATGCTATTAATTCATCAGTTAGGGTTTATTACTTCCTTACCCTACTCCAAAACTAAAGCACTAAAAAGCACTTCCGAAATCCTTTTCCACTTCCATTTGTTTGCTCAGTTTTTGAGTGGATAGTTCTTTGGCTGCGCGGAAAGTTTCGGATCTCTGCCATTTATTATTAGTTACAAATTTCCATAATTTCGTTTAACTTTTCCGCATTAGTTGGAAAAGTATTCGCATCGAGACCGAACTTCGTTGTTTGTAGTTCTTTGTACACAAATAAGAGGGTGAATATCCGAAATAGTTAGCAATTATGGGATGTTGTTTCTTAATTTCTCCGGAGGTTGGTATTTCGGGAATAAAAACAAGATTGCTCAGCATATTTAATAATATAGAGGAAAAATATACACAGTTAAGAGATGGAATAGGTGAGGGTCCATCAGCATTTCGTCTCATGGCAGGAAATACTTCTGTAAAAGAAATTGGCTTATCATAATTTATTTTTTACCTTAGCAGGGTCACGAGTTGATTTATTGACAAAATATTGCCACTATGATGGCTTGATATATGATTTCAAATTAATAAATGGTCCATATGGATTCAACGAACAAAAAAATCGACCTCTCCGATTTTTTTTTTAAACTTAGGGATGTTAATCTACTTTGAATTTTTAATTTTTCCGAAAAAAATTTTTGGAGATCTGTGGCGCCATGTCAAAGTTTGCATCTTGATAGCGTTATTCCGTAAATGAGAATGCATATTTTTGTCAAGTGGCCGTCATTTTGATCCAAATCATCCTATCGAAACATTTTTTTTTCAGAATGTGCAGAATTTTATCAACTTTTAAGTACCTGTTTCTTTCCGAATTCAAATTGCTTTAAAATTTTCTGAGATAAATGAGAAAAACTGAAAAAAAATTATTTTTATTCTAAATTAATTTTCTCAAAAATGCCACCTCTAATTTCACCTTTGGATATGTTTTTCAAGTCCAAATAAGATAATATCTTAAATATTAAAAAATATTATCTTTTAGCCAAGCGGCAATATGCTAACATTTTGACCCAAATCATCCTATCGAAACGTTTTTCTTTTTTCAAAATTTGTAGGATGTTATCAACTTTTACCTGTTTTTTCCTTCAGAATCCAAGTTGCTTTAAAACGGAAATAAATGATGAAAACTGAAAAATATAATTGATATAATAATTTTAACACGGGAAATCATTTGTCAACGTAGAAATAAGTAAAATAATCAGTTTAAATCAACATTCAACATAAGTACAAATGAAGTAAAATAACAGTGCTATCCAAAATGTTTGCACCATATGGGGAAAAACTTTATGTATAAATTTAATAAATTTATTTGATTGTCAGTTGTCTCTACATGTCAAATCAAAATAGCGCCCATCAAACCTCATAAAACGTGTGTTATATACGAGGGGCAGACGAAAACTCCAAATCAGCCTAAGAGTAAAGTACCCTTATTTTCAATCCTAGGGGAAAATGTTATAAAGAAAAGTTACTACTCTCTATTAGCCTGAATATAAAATTTCAGTTCATTATGTTGAAAAAGCGATTCCTTACATTTTTGTTCAGGAATTATAATGTTTTTCTTGTAGAAATGTACTAAAAAAACGTGACTTTAGTAATAGATGGTTTCGCTCGAATTATGGTACTAGGGAAAGTTGCAAAAATGTAAGGAATCGCTTTTTCAACATAATGAACTGAAATTTTATATTCGGGCTAATCCTTTAGAGGTAAATAATAATAATTATAAATAATAAACGTTTTATGAAGTTCGATGGGCACTATTTTGATTTGACGACATACAGAGACAACTGACAATCGAAGCAATCTATTCTCGGATAACCAAATATGACTATTACGATTGTCGTGAATTGATTGAACTCCTTTCCATTCCTCGGTGTTTTGAGCTTGAAATTTTTGCAGTGTTTTGGAAACTGCAAAAATATAGTCTTTGCGAGACCATATCTCCCTAACGGAGCAATATGGTCGGCAAACAGATAGCTCATTCGACCTTGAAAAACATCAAAATTTGATGAAATTAAAAGGTGGAGTTTTTGAGAAAATCAATTTTGAAAAAAATTACTTTTTTCAGTTTTTGTCATTTATCTCAGAAAGTTTTAAAGCAATTTGAATTCTGAAAGAAACAGGTAAAAGTTGATAAAATCCTGCACATTTAAAAAAAATCGATAGGATGATTTAGGTCACGGCCACTTGAAAAAAAATTTCGAAACCGTATCTCCGCTTGGCTTATTCAGTCTTGAAAAACATATTCAAATTTGGTGAAATTAGAAAGTGAGGTTTTTGAGAATATTAATTTTGAAAAAATAATCACTTTTTTGTTTTTCTCATTTATCTCAGAAAGTTTTAAAACAATTTGAATTCTGAAAACACCAGGTAGAATCTGATCAAATTCTGCACAAAAGCAAAACGTTTGCGTCAAAATAACAGCCACTTTGAAAAAATATGCATTTTCATTTTCGGAATAATGCTGTCACGATGTAAATTTTGAAATAGCACCACAAAGCTCCAAAATTTTTTTTCGGAAAAACGAAAAAACAGGTTTCATAAAATTGAAAGGAGATTAACATCCCACCAAAGTTTAAAAAAAATTGAAGAGGTCGATTTTTTTTGCTCATTGAATCCATATGGAAACTACCATATATGTTTTTAACAATTTTTTATGATAATATTTCGTGAACTATTTTATTATGAAAAATAATGTTTAGCATGCACTTACAATTATTAGTGTTTGCAATTATTTACTTGTGAATCTTTCGTAGGCACTTTTTTAATTAAAATGGGTATTTCTATAACAGTAATAAGAAAATGATTACAAGAAAATCCCGAAAAAATATTTCTAATTTTTCAATGACATACAATGAGTCTACAAATGGAATTGAAAAGAGGGAAAACTTTTTTTTCCCTTTTTATAAAAAAGTTATGCATTAATAAACAATTCTGCGATTGTTAAAATGTAGTGACTTTGACAGATATTGTAAGCACCAAAACAGCTATTTGAGTAATTTCTCGGGAAAACAATATGAAGAAAAGTCAATACAAGCAATTTTTTTTGGTACCTACGTACGATGGATATCGTACTAATAATTATGTGCCAATATAAGTGAATATATATTCCCTAAGGGCTTACTCCAAAAAGAGAGTTTGGTTGATTTTCTTTTCATTGTTTATACCCATTTGCAAGATGAACGACAATATCTACTTACCTCCGGATTACAAAAATAAAAGCATTTTGCGAATTCATAAGCCGCTATGCATTTATCATTTGGGGTTACAACTGAAAATAAAAATACAGTCATATTCAAAATACCAATTTTGTAAAACATCTTCCGATAATGACTATCGTATCGAGGTATTTCTTTTAATTTAGAATTTACAGTGCATTCAATCTTACTCACCTGCATCTTTACACTGATTCATACATTCCAAGGTGTGTCCTCTGAAGCTTTCGGGAAGAATTTTTAATTGGTTCATCCCAGATTCGTAGTCGAATTTATTCTCTTTGTTCAACTAAAATAATAGTTATTGAATTGTTTTACAATTATCTTTTGATAATTCTTTATAAAACAACAGACTTAATTCAAAATAATCGCGAAGTGAGTGTTTTTAAAAGCCACGTGAGTGTAATAAAACATACATATTTTTACACATGCGTCTTACAATGTTTTATCTTGAATTTTCATGATTCAGCCATTGGTGTAATTAGAAAAAAAAAGAAGTAATCTTGCGGAAAGTATGTTCCTTATTTTTCAAAAAAGCAAAGCATATAAAATACCGAATCTTTTGTCAGACCATGGACTCCTATGGCCAAAGCTTTACTGATAGTTGAAAAAGACATCGATTCTAAACCATTTCTAGGATGTGGCAACGGTTGAAATGTATCGAAAATGTGCCACTCTTGGCTTAACAACACATAATCGACTGTTTGTTAGCTATCGGAAAATGTTCTTTTCAGCAGAGGCTCTAGGAAAATACCAAACGAAATTGCAAAATATACTTTGACACTATAATTTTAAACTCGAGAGATTTTAATCAATTTGCTTTTTAGAACACAGTAAACTTCCATTATTATTGAAATGTCGTTTTTTTTTTTCATATAATTTCAATCTCAACATAAAGTCATTGTTCATGCAGCGTATTACTATATTAAAACCGCTATTTTCACTTACCAGTTTATGCATATTTAAGGCACATTGCATGTAACACTGCAAAATACACAAGTATTAATATCTCATACAGAGCCTTCATATATGTTTACAAGTTACGTAATAACCAACCGAGCTTAGATAACCATCATTGCAGGGCTGGTACCGGTAATAAAAAATGCCTAAAACTTGGCGTCATTAACATTAATGATTCGTATACAATGAACAATGACAAATTGTTACGTCTACGCTCGAGATAATGTGATCGTTTATTCCTTGAATAAAATCTCGTAAAAAATCACCGGCCTGTGGAACAGAATGTTGTGTTTTAATGTAATCTTGATCTTATTACTTTAATAATTTTTAATTTTGTCGAAATTTAATGCAACATGAAGGAAATAAAATTACTGTTCCAACAAAATTACTGGTCATGTGGCTTGTAATCATTTATGAAAGATCTGTATTATATATAAATTATAATTTTTAGCGTCGATATCAGAAAATGATCTACACACATTTTATATAAACTTGGTGCGCCTTGCAATTTATTTTTCTAAAAATTAAATATCAATCTTGAGCAAATATAAAAATCTAAAAGCTGTTACAAAACTACATTTTAATCTTACCATAGCTTCACGATCGATATTCCAGTCTCCCAAATGCATTTTCTCTATATCATCTGAAATAATTTAAAATAGATCTTATTACTTTCAGCTGTATATCATAATAATATATTAAAATTTGATATTGTCATCATAATATGTTGGGTTTCAAATACAATATTTAAGAGAGGAAGCTTTTAAAAAATACTAACCGGTGGAAGCTTTAGTTTTCGACTGGCACGTATTTCTTACCATTTTCACCGTTGCTTGAACTTGTTTCTCAGTTAACTGAAAACAAAAATATTAGTTTAAAGCATAGACGAACTAAATGACGGAACATACACTGCCAACTTGATACACGGATAGAAGGCAAGTTAAAATCGATGCAAGGAAGTACTTCCGCCACATTTTTCAATTATTTGCAGCAAGTTCAAGACGGTGGGAAATTATATATTTTCGAGCCTTGCTAAAACTTGCTTTTTATTTTTAATTAAGACTGAAATTACTAAGTAATCAACTAGTTACGATCAAAACGTGGTATTAGTTCTTTAATTATAGTTCATTAGGGAATTATCAAAGGAAGTACGAATAAATACACTCTCTTTTTTAATTGAAAAATATTCAATTATTAATTGTAACAGCATCTAAGTGGTGACTATAAATTAAGTTTATTTATGGTTGCCACTGCTATTGCAATATTATTTATCAAGGTAGAAAAATCATTTATTTCAGGAAGATATAGCCAATTTTGACAAGAACAAGGTGATTTTACTTTAAATTATGAAATTGAATATATTCTTTATTTAAAAATAATTGTATTTAGCTCTATAAATTCTACCTCATATAATTTACAGCTAATAGGTGTAGACAATTTAAATAAAATTTAGAACAACTTATAAATGAAAAGAGATATTCTAATTTGTAAAATCTTGATATCATTCCTTTAGTCAGTTACGTATACGTGAGATGTAGTACTTCTTTTTTGTGAAAAAGTGCCTCTAGAAATACCGAATTTCCTACAATGAAATGGGTTTAAATTGTGTGAATGGAGTGAAGAACTGACTAGTAAAAAAAAAATTTTTTTAACGTTTATCGTTCAATCCAATGCTGTGCATAATTCTCTTTCAACTACCCATGAATTTGTCCACCAAAATGTAAAAGATTCCATCTCCACAAAAAAAAACTAATGACTCGCTTATTTCCAAAAAATATTAAGACGTTTTTGGTAGACTGGTCAATACCGTATTTTTTTACATAGAAAAACGCTTTGCGCCTCAAGTACACCTCACTGATTAAAATTATGAACCTAAAAGTCTACCAGTTAAAAAATCTCTCTCCATGTATAAATTTTATCAGTTTAAAGACTAAACATTTGATAAAAATTATTCTTGAAAACTTGGGTCAGCTCCACATTGAAGCAATAAAAAAACTAGCAAATGCAATAAACAATAGTAACAATATCTTGTTCTATTCTCACAGTCGAGCAAAATATTTCACTATTCAAAATCTTCATAGATTTTTTTTATTATTACTCTAAACTATTTAACAATAGGTACACAACTGATATTCTTTCAAACTTAACAGCGAAATAAATCATTGTCAAAACCTGCTTTGGTCATAAAGGATACAGCGCAATTAAACATATTTTGTCAGCTTGACGAGTTTATTTACACATTAAATATAAAACACGATTAATGTTTACGTAGTTTTTACATTAAATAATGTTCAAGAATCATTGTCATTAATATTAATAATATTAACCAGTAATAATTGTATCTCAATAAAATAGAGAGAAAATTAAATATTACAGTTGACAATTCAAAATTAAACATGAAGTTCAATTAGAAAAAAAAATCATAACTAGATACTGATCTTTTCATGTTGAAAATTATGGAAAATGTCCGATATTTTCGAAAACACTTTTATTAAAAACATGTTAAGTACTTGCAAAGTGACTTTTATATTTTATATTTCAGTAGAAGTTAAAAAATGCAATAATGTACAGAGTGTTCTGTACAAAAAATCAAGGAAAACTGATGGTGTGGATTTTAATGATAATAATTAATAAAATAATTAAACTTTATCCAGAAAAATATGAAATAGTTCGTCCATTCCTAAAACAACTTTTATTTACATGGTCTACTGATGAAGTACGATTAACCGAAATCCATATTTATGTAATAGCAATCTTAAGAATTCTGCCTTAACATACTTTACGGCCGATGAGAAATTTATTTTATTTTATAAAAATAATATTAACTCAGTACCTAAATCGTTTTTTTTTTCAATTTCACGTTGTCAACAGTTGATGATGTGTCGAATGCATTATAGTTCTTTAAAACTTTAGATGTAGATAATATTGGTATAACATAATATGTATACTCCTGTCTATTTGGAAACAGGCTAATATTATGCCAATGCTTAACTTAAGACAAGTGATAAAAATTATGTGAAAGACCTGTTAGCATATTACTAGCAGTATCAAATGTTTTGAAAATTTTCTCACTTTTACGAATTCACAAATATGAAAATGATAATAGTATTTCACCTGTAAACAAATCTGGGTTTCACATTGACTGCAGTAGGAATAAGTACTCTCTTCGAATATCTAATAATGAGAACTTACAGTTTTGCATTATTTTGGTTTTTGTGAAGTCAATTAAACACTTCGTCACTGAAGGATACCAGAGAATTATTCTTTCTAATATTCCGATGTATTAACAACTAACCACGGTTGTACCTCAAGGTTCGATTTCGGATCTGTTCCTACTCAAGATTTACACGACAGGGTTCCATCATATTTTAAAATCCTCGCTCGTTTCTATAAAAATAATACACAAATATTATTTCGGGAAAGGTAATATTTTTCATGATTTTTGTAAAACTTAAATTCAGCAAAATCGAAGGTAGCGCTTTTTAATAAAAAAAGGTCTTATGAGATAAGTGTATTGATAAAGTAAATATTCTGCAATTCTGTAGTTCTTTCCCTGTGGTGTAGATGGCACTGCCAAAAACGGTCAAAAATTGTTTAGGTATAAAACTACAAAACATTGGATTTAATCATTACGAAACGCCAACGAAAATACTATACTATCGACGAATCGTACACTGAAAATTTATGTCTATCAAAATCATACAATTAGGTGTGGATTTATGACCGTACTGCAAATTGTATAACATTAATTATGTTATAATTATATCACGTTATGTTAATTATGTTAATTACAGGGTGTGGCGTGTATAATCTATAGAAATTAAAGTTTATTTATTCAACCAAAAAGGAAGGCCGACCCTGTGTTATTTATTAAAAACTTTGGAAATGTTTTTATGCGACACGATATGCAACCTGTTAATTTAAGTCAGTATAATCTAATAGTAGTAATACTAAAAGAAGGTTAGGATACATTGTCAAAAAATTTGTGCAGTCAACTGATTTTATATTTGTATTGAATTCATTATTCACTTAATTATTAAATATTTAGCATCGTCCATCGACCCATCAGTGTTAACAAGTGAAAGATTCCAGACAAAAGTTTTATTTTATTTTGTAATTCCACAATAGTGACAGTGTAATTTTTATAAAGAAGTAAAAAATAAGAATAGCATGCCGATTACATTAAAAACGAGATTCTTATTTCTTACTTTGTTTAATTTTTTAGTTTGTTCATAAAATAGTTTTACAATGTACCGAGAAAACAATGCATTTATTATTTCCGAACGTGTCGATATGGTGTTAGTGTATGGTGCAGCCGGAGAAAATGCGCTCGCGGCGACTAGGTTGTATCAGGAACGATGGCCACAACGTGCAATAATACAATCCTACAGTGCTTTCAGCGGCTGCGAGATACGGGAAGTGTTATTCCCCGAGTAGAAGGGCGTGGTCAGCAAGCGAACCTTAATGTTGAAGATGCAGTGTTGGAAAATTTGGGAAAATATTCGCGGGTGCGTCGGTGCCATGTCTGTATCCGCGCTAATGGGAATCAATTTCAACATTTTCTCTAGAAATGGGAAGTTTTATTTCATTTTGTTCCATATTTTAATGGAGTTTGGCAACTACAGATGCTTACGGAAGTGGTTTTGTTTGCGAACTCTTGCAGTAATAACAATGCTTATAAGATAGTAATTACTATTAATTATTATAATAAGAAAATATCAGTTTTTTTTTAATATCAATTTTTCTTATTTTGTACTTTTTGCATTGAAAAATTCCCAAAAAATTGCGAAGTATCTTTCTATGTTTCAACGACAATTTGTTTACGCGGCTGGTCTACAACATTGTAAGGTTGTATCTCGGGTCGCATAAAAACATTTCCAAAGTTTTTAATAAATAACACAGGATGAATAAATGAACTTTAATTTACAAAAAAAAACACGAAGATAGAACTTTTTCGTATAATACTTTTCTATTACAAATATCAGGAAACTATAGTTTAATTTTTATAGATTATACACTCCACACCTTGTATTTTCTAAAACCTAATCTGTATAATAAATTCTTAAACATAAAACTATTTCGTTCCAGTTTTACATAGGTATTAAATTGCATTTATATATACTATTTTCTTTTAGAAAATTGCCGTATCATAAATTTAAAGCTGAAATTATTAAGTTAATAATAAATATCTTACAACTATTTCTTTGTCGCGACTATTTGCAAATGCATGTTATTGATTGTTTAATTATTATAAATTGCTATGTACGGCTTCTATCGATTTTATATGAAGATAATAACATTAATGACGTCGCTATAATAATGATTATCTTCTCCACAACACAAAAAACTTCACTGTGGGCGTGGGGATATTTTCTGCCATCAAGTTTCCGAAATTAGGGCATGGTTATTAAAATGAAGGCAATACATTAAGTTTTTGCCTTGGCAAGTCTAGCGGGTGTCCGAATTCCTGTCACAGAGTTCGTGCAAGAACATTAATATGTTAATAACGAAAATACCGATATAGCATTACGCTGGGGATCAGCACCACTACGAGGCCATTATTGAGTTTGACAAATGCATACTCTCGGGGTTCGGGAAAATACAGGGGATGTAAAACATCTTAGATGCCACCGTGACTGTAATCCATAATGGATAACTCGGGTATTTCCCTGGACAATGGCGTCGTGCCGGACGACAGAGGCCTGATCCGCAGACCTGTTTGGACATGAATTATAACGTCGCCCCGGCGAGCGAGTGATTTGCCGGTGTGAGGCGTGTGCTAAATTCTCATCCAAAGGCGGGTTTCTAGAATCGATGGTGATAGACAAACATGCTCTCTGTTACATATTTTTTAAATATGTTAGGAACTTTATTCTAAATGTATTGCTAATCCAAATAAATTCAAATATTTTTTCTAAAAATTCTATCAATTGAAGAAGAGTGACTCAGTATGCTTCAGAAAACATATTTTTGTAATTTAAGAAAAGAAATCTTGCGTTTGAT